ATGGCCTTCAAAAACATGTAGAGTCGGCAAGTTTATGAAGGCCATAGATAGGCCTAAATAAAATGTTTTTAATTATGTACCAGTTTAACGTTGAATATTATTTATGATTTTAACTTTATACATAAGTGCCAAAATACTATAATAACACAACAGCTGTTAGTTTAAAATTTATGTTTTACATTGTGTGACTTTTATCAAATCTCACACTGTTTTCAGAGTATAGTTGGCGGGAAATTTAGAAACACCATGTTGTCTTGTACAGCCACTGTTATTAAATTTTCAAACAAACAAACAAAAAAAAACACTCGCACAACCCTAAAGAAAAACATGATTTACAAAATATCAAATTTTAACATACGTTTTCATCACAAGAATATTTTTTTCGTATTTAGTTACAGTTTGAGAAATCTATTTACACGTTCCTTCGGTTGGTCAACAGTAAGTTAACGCGTTTACACGCTCAAATCCATGGTGAAAGTGCAGATAGGCCAAACTATATGGTGAAGTAAAGGGAACTAAAAAAAACCATAGATATTATATACACTTCACCATTATAAGAGGCCTAATTGCTGACCCTAATTGTGCGATGACCCTTGGATAGGCAAAACTGCAGTCCACAGAGGTGTGTGGCCGACCAAAGAATGCATTAGGCCTCTACGTTACAGATTCTTTAACACACACAACCGTAGTGTTTCACACACTATACTGTATATATATAATCATTAAACAGTTGGTCTGCTGTATAATATTGAATAATGAATTCGACAAAATGTCATAACATTGTTCACATAATTAAACTAATTTAGGTTACTGTATGGTGAAGTAAAACCGATTCAAAACCCCTATAGATAATAGATTATTATAGTCATCAATGAGAATGGTTTCCATGGAGATTATGTCATTACTTATTTCATACTGCCAATTAGGTGTCTGAGTGCGAACAAACTCTCAAGTATAACGGGTTTCCATGGAGATTATGTCATTATTTACGTAAAAATGCAATTATGTGTCTGAATGCGAGCAAAATCTTAAGTATAACGAGTTTCCATGGAGATTATGTCATTACTTATTTCATACTGCCAATTAGGTGTCTGAGTGCGAACAAACTCTTAAGTATAACGGGTTTCCATGGAGATTATGTCATTATTTACATAAAAATGCAATTATGTGTCTGAATGCGAGCAAAATCTTAAGTATAACGGGTTTCCATGGAGATTATGTCATTACTTATTTCATACTGCCAATTAGGTGTTTGAGTGCGAACAAACTCTTAAGTATAACGGGTTTCCATGGAGATTATGTCATTATTTACGTCATAATGTCAATTATGTGTCTGAATGCGAACAAACTCTCAGTATAATACTGGTGTAATATCATTGACGTTTCGTATCTAAGTTTCCACTTCACATTGACCAACCTAAGATTTAAGTAACAATGATAAATCTAACAATTAGTAGACATACAGAAGATCGTTGTATCATAAGTGAGAACAGGCCAGCATTATAATCGTAATAACGAAGATAAAGCAGTTGAGACTGACAACATACCGTTTAGTTAATCACTCAAATATTTTATTTCAGAAACAACACATGTTTCATTGTAAGTCTTGTTGTATTGAGTACAGTAAACTCGGAAACATAGAATGGAAGACAGCCCATGCACAAACACAAACCGTCTCCAAACCGATTACAATTTATGTGTAAATCGTAGACCTCTTCAACATAATAGCGTGTCTTTCCTTTTGTGGACATTGCTGAAGTGTGTTATAGATTCAACATAATAGAGTGTCTT